GCCAGGATGATGGATTGTCACGATGCCTTATTTCTGCATCTTGGCCAGCAGACACTCACTCTTCAAAAACTGGACTTTTGTTTCTTCTTGAATATATTCTGTTTCTGAAAGCGCCATTCCCATTACTGTCCTGGTGACCAAACACAATGGAATCATTTATGTTGGGCATGTCATTGCTCTGGGTCATTTTGCAAAATAGCCAAAGAAGCACATTTGTCATCATGTGCTCAGGTCCTAAGCAGAAGTGAGGTTTAATTTATAAATGCTTAACACGGTTTTTGGGAAAAAAAAGATGTTTGAGAAAATGAATTGAAGTTTGCTGGTTGGGTAGAATTCCTGGCATGGCAAAGTGACCCAGTATGGGTCACCAGAATAGCATTAACAGAATAGAAAATATTCACTTTCCCTGGCAGATGGGTCTTCATGCTTGAGAGCTGCCAGATAACCCATAGGACAGGTTTCTAGAACAATTGTTTCTTTCTTATAGTAATAAAATACAAAGTTTCCTTCAGATGTTTTGTACTACATCTGTTTTCATTTCTTTGTCTGTACAGGTGATAAACAAAACAGCTGCTAATCAAATCCTGGTGTTTCAGTATTACCCAGAATATGTTTTTCAGCTGTTATTAAGTAATCTTCATGAATGGGTGTGATCTTTTGGGGGGGGTGATCTTTTACATTGCCACTTAAAGGACATTTGGAATGTCCTCACTTCCCATGAGTGTGCAAGGATGTGCTTTGAAAATATTTGTCATTTTTCTAATCAACATTTCTCTGGTTTCCAGTGAGACTGCACACCTTGTCATGTGCCTGGCAGCATATAAACTTATGTTCCATGAGCCTTCATATAAGTTCTAGATAGTCTTTGCCCAAAGTTGACTAAATATGATTTTTATTTGTTGTTAAATCTACTTCCTATGCTTCTAATATTCTTATTTTTAATCTGCATGGATAGCAATAATGTGTTTTCCCAAAAATGAATGTTCAGCTGCTCTAATGTCACTAGTAAATTGTGATGATATTTTTGATTTATTGAAGCTTGCCTGAGGATTTAGAAAGCAAAGTCAGCCTCAAGATACAGTAATCAGGCAGTGGTCATACACACCTTAAATTTCAGCAGCCAGAATCTAGGAGGTGGTGATACACATCTTTAATCCTAGGACTCAGGATTAAAAGGTAAAGAGATCTCAGTGAATCCAAGGCCACCCAGATCAACACAAAATTGATCTAGTCCTAAAGAGAAACAGCTTACACAAAGATGGTCTCAGCACCTGGGATCACATGCCTTTAATCCCAGCACTGGAGGGTATAAGAGATAGGAACAGGGTCTTTATTAGTCAGTGTCAAGCCACATTGAGGATAGGAGGGTTCACTCTTCAGCCACATTGAAGATAGGAAGACATTCAGTCTCAGGTTTCTCCAGCCACACTAAGAAGAGGTTACAGTCTGGGGTTTGGTGGAGCCAGGATCACCTTTCAGTCTGAGGTAAAGTGAGAGCTAGTGCCCATCTCTTTGCTTTTCTGATCTTCAGCTTGAAGCTTGAACCCCAATGTCAGCCTCTGGGTCTTTTATTTATCATGCACGAGTAAATAGTTGAACTCCACTAATTTGAATGCTTATGTGTGTGAGGCCATCCGGCGGAGCTGGTCAACCAACCAGCAGCTACATTCCTGAAGTAAAAGGGTTCCCCATGTTCCGGCAGCCATAAACTGCCACTAGCTCCCCAGCTAGTCATAGTGACTCTCGGCCCCTCCCCCATCTGTACTAGAATGTTCACTGACTTGATTTCTTTTTTCAATGAAGGCTGTCCATCACCTTGGGCCTTCTTGTCTTCTCTTTTTTTTTTTTTTAGATTTTTATTTATTTATTATGTATACACCATTCTGCTCCCATGTATATCTGCACACCAGAAGCGGGCACAAGATCTCATAATGGATGGTTGTGAGCCACCATGTGGTTGCTGGGAATTGAACTCAGGACCTCCAGAAAAGCAGCCAGTGCTCTTAACCTCTGAGCCATCTCTCCAGCCCAGATTTTTTTTTTTTTTTAGATCTGTGCAGGTAATCACAACCTCTCTGAGTTCATGAACACTAGTGCCGTGTCATGTCCATCCTCCGGGTCATACATTCTTTCTACCTCATCTTCCACAACGTTCACTGGATCTTGGAGGGTGTGGTATAAACGTCCCATTTAGGGCTGAACATTCTGCAGTCAATTGTTCTTTGACAAGTTAAAGAGTCTCTGCATTGAGAGCTGCCCACTGCACAAAGAAGTCACTCTGGCTAAAGTTGGGAGCAGCGTCACTCTATGTGTATAAACAAAAATATTTAGAAGGCTAACTGACAACATTTTACTTTAGTGAAATAATAGTTGTAGGAAACCTGCCCCCAGGTTCTATGACCTCCCCATTATTGGCCAAGTTCATTATATCATGTATGGTTTCTTCCTGTGGAGTGGTCCTCAAAGCCAATCAGAAAATGGTCTGTTTCCCCCATAACAACCATGCCTCTATAGTAACAGTAGGCATATCTTGTAGCATGCACACATTGTAGCATGCAAGGTTCACTGCTGGGTAAGTCCATTAATAACTTTTCTGCCACATAGCATTTTCTGGTACTGTGAGTCATGCCTAGCTTTTGTTTGGGCTCTAGAGATCCAAACTCTGAGCACCATGCTTATTTGGAAGATACTTGACCAACTAAGCCATCTCCCCATCTCTAGCTTGACTTTTTCCATGAGAATTTCATACTTTATCTCCTCATAACATATCCCATGACAAATCATAGGGTACAAAGCATGAGGAGAGTTGTCTATGGATCAGACTCAGAAATGGTGCGTTTTTCAGCAGCTAGGATCTCAGTTTTCTCATTAAGTTCCATCTCAATTATATGAGAGAATCAAAAGTTAGATAAATAATTGATTTACTGAGTGAGAGACTGATTAATGTATGGACAGGTATAGATACAGACCCACTTGCTGATACTAATATGAAAAGACAGAAAAAACGGAAATGAATGCATACAAAGGAAGATGTTAGAGATTACCAAGTACAGAATTCTGAAATAGATCAGCCACTGCCCTCCTCAGGGTGTCTGAGTATTAGTAGGGGGAATTCTTCATGGTTATGAAGAGTTTTAATTGTTTTCTAAAATCATCAAACCTTAATGATTTCATGAGACAATCTTTCCATCTAAGCTAGATGTGGTGACAAGTCTGTAATCCTGGCATTTGGGATGCAGAGGCTGGAGAATCATGAGTTCAAAGCTAGCCTCAGCTACATACCAATCTAGGGTCCAACCTGAGCTTCATTATAACCTGTTTTAAGGGGAGAAAATACTTCCTTTTATGAAAAGGGGGAGGGATGTCTCACACCCTGTTGTTGGGAATTTACAATCATACAGCCATCACAGAATATGGCAGCCCCTCAATGATGAGGGAGGTCCTTCTGTGTATATGTTTGTCTTACTGGTTGATGAATAAAGCACTGTTGGCCAATAGGGAAGCAAGATAGGTGGGACTAGGAGTTGAGGAGGATTCTGGGAAATGTAGTAAAGGGAGCGTCGACATGTGATCCCAGGAAGAGAGGATGCATGAGGCTGGCATCCTCGGTAAGATAAGACCTTGAGATAGATAGATGGATAGATAGATAGATAGATAGATAGATAGATAGATAGATAGATAGATAGATAGATATAGTAGTATGTGTTAATACTTAAGACAGAGTTAGCCAACAGAGGCTGTAGACATTAGCCAACAGTATTATAACTAATATAAGTCTCCGTGTATTATTTTGGGGGCTAAAGCAGCGATGAGACCCAGGTGGGAATCCCGTAACAAAACTTCAATATAGTAGAGATAAAGCTACCAGTAATTCCACCACTGGTTATGTAAATACAAAGAAAATAAAATCAGTATGTTGAGGAAACATCAACATTCTAATACTTACTGTGGCATTATTCAAAGTAGCTAAACCATATGGAATCAACCTAGACAGCAATTCATAAATTGAAGAATGGATAAAGTAAACACCTTGGATATACACAATGGAATATTAGTCAGCTGTTATAAAGGAACTAAAGAGTATCATTTGTGGCTGTGTGGGTGGAACCAGAGGGTATTTTGTTAAGTCAAAACAAGTCAGAGACAGAAAGACAAGCCCTGATTGCTCTCACTTGTGTGCATGCCTAGAAGTCAGCTTCATAGAAGTAAATACTAGCCAGAGGCCTGGGGGGGCAGGGAATAAAGACAGGATGGCTAAGCCAAACATGTGTGATTAAATAGAAAGAATAGCCTAATGTCCTGTGGGATAACAGGGTGCTTCTGGATGACAACAATAAAATGTACATTTGAAATAGCGAGGGGAGAGGATTGTGAATGTTCCCAGAAAAAAAAGATAAATATTTGAGATTATTGTTATGTCATGTATCTTTATCTGATCATCATATATTAAATACATGCATTAGCCAGATGGTAGTGGTGGTGGTGCACGTCTTTAATCCCAGCACCCAGGAGGCAGAGGCAGGTGGATCTCTGTGAGCTTGAGGCCAGCCTGGTCTACAGAATGAGTTCCAGGACAGCCAGAGCTACACAGAAAAACCCTGTCTCAGAAGGAAAGAAAAAAAAGCACTAAAATACCACACCATGACCTCTATGCATGCATATAAATTTGTTAGGTGTCAATTAAAACTCATTTTAATTAAAAAGAAAACAAGAAGAGAAACTAAAGAAGAGGTTATTCTCCTGAGCTTCCATATGGGATTTTAGCAATCATAGAAGTCAGTATAGTTTGTCCTGGTGTTTAGGGTGCTGCACCTAGGACAGCAACCACAGCCTGTCACTGCCTCCATGGGGTTTGACTCTCCCAGGACCTCCAGTGAACACTCACCAAACTCCTCATTGTTCTCTCCCAGGATCTCAGGTGAACACTCACCAAACTCCTCATTGTTCTCTTCCAGGATCTCTGGTGAACACTCACCAAGCTCTTCATTGTTCCCTCCCAGGATCTCCAATGAACACTCACCCAAACTCCAGATCCGTAGTCACAGTTACCTGAGGGCAGTAAGCGAAGTCTCCATCAACAGAAGCCTGGACAGCCTTGACCCTGCAGGCTTGCTCACGTCACCAAAGTTCCGCTCCAGAAATGAGAGCTACATGAGAGCCATGAGCACCATAAGCCAGGTAAGAGCCATCAGAGCCTCACTGGCCATATGCCATTATCAGTGAGAACTGAGAGAGCAAGGGCGTGGGGGTAGTCACACCCACATAGACCACTGATGGAGTCCACAGAAGTGCAGCTGATGCTGCAGTGTAGGCCGTGTGTTGAACCCCAGCAAGCTCCTGGTCTTGGTGGTCTACTAGGAGAAGAGGGGCCCTTTGCAGGTGAGTCGGACACAAGGAGGGAATCCTGGGAAATTCATAACCTGTCAGGCAAGTACCATCTAATTTTCAGGATGATGTTGGCGGAGGAGGCTTCAGCTGCCAAGTTGTTTGAGGGGCCCATGCCTAGGGACCAGACATCACTGGCAAAACCCCAGTCACAGTACCCACCTGTGCTGTGGGTACGACCTTCCTTGGGACATCACTTCCCAATGACAGCTTAGTAAGGTATCAGGCCTAGAAAAGTCTAATGCTCTCTTTTGGTCAAGTGCCACAATTCCACGGTATAGTCATTTGGCCTTAAGAGAAAGAAGAAAAAAAAAAAAAACAGAAAGAATGGCCATCCTTAATGGAGTTCTAATGACACATCATTTTTCTAGCACCATATTCAACTCTCAAATAACACATTATCTTTAAGGACAATTTCAGACTTCCTATTACAGTTGCAACGATGTCATTATTCAGAGAACAGTTTCTTCTTCAAAGTCACTCAACCGTACACACTGACTTTTCTAACAGAAGATGATTTTGTGAGAGTTAGTCTCATAGATAGATAGATAGACAGACAGACAGACAGACAGACAGACAGACAGACAGACAGATAGATAGATAGATAGATATGTTAGAAGAACAGTGTTTAATTTAAGAACATTGTACTCTGTCCCCATTAAAAATCTGACATTATTCACCAAAGGCTCTGAAGAGGGATCCAAGTAAAATGCTATAAACCAAGGAATTAGACTCAAGTGAACTTCTTAAACCTTTTGAACATATGACCCCTTTATGCTTAAAATTTTTTATGAAACTCCACATACACAGGTATATATAATAAGTGTACAAGTTTACTGATGATAAAGCATAAATTTACTTTAAAGCAATTCTTTGATATACCTATAATTGTACTGTTTATTAAAGATAAAAGCGAATTGCCTTACTAAAGATACTATAAAGAACTCGATCCTGCCAGGCAATGGTGGCGCACGCCTTTAATCCCAGCACTCTGGAGGCAGAGAGAGGTGGATCTCTGTGAGTTTGAGCCACTCTGGTCTACAGAGTGAAACCTCACTCTTGGCTGAATATTTGATAGGAGGTCCAAGAGTATGATAGGTTGTTTTTCAGAGTGTGTCACCATCTGTGCTGAAAATGCCATTTGCAAAAGTACTTTTAAGGCCATTTAAGAAAGTGTCCCAATTTCAATCCAAAAACCACTTAGCAATTTATGAAACTCAAATAATTACATTTAAAATAAAGCTTCCTAACACAATGCAATCTAAAAATACACTAAGTTGATACTTACTGAGAACTGACTCCCACAAGGTTTCTTCTGACCACATGCACACCCTGGCATGCACAACCCACACACATAACACAGACATGCACATAAATGTAACTTAGTTTTCTAAGTAGATGATGTATTAGAGGCTGAGGTGTCTGTAATAATGAGAGTGTCTGTCTAGCATACAGGAGTCCCTGGGTTTTGATCCTTTCAAAACCTATGTATTAAGATTGTTTTCAATGAATAAACCTTACAATTGAATATCAAGTATTCCTAAATGCTAAGCTATCTCTTTAGCTCTCTGAATCTGTTTTTAAAAAATATAGTGTGTGTGTGTGTGTGTGTGTGTGTGTGTGTGTGTGCCCGAGTGTGCATGTGTGCATGTGTATATTTTTTAAACCACACTATATTTTTTAAACCACACTATATTTTTTAAAAACAGATTCAGAGAGCTAAAGAGATAGTTTAGCATTTAGGAATACTTGATATTCAATTGTAAGGGCCAGAGTTTGAATCCCAATACCCATGTCTGAACATGTCTGTATCCACAGCTCTGGACTGAAAAAAATATAGGGATATCTGGGACTTGCTGGTGTCCACCATAGCTAAGAAAATAACAGTACTAGATTCAGAGAGAGACCCTGCCTCAAAGGAGTAGGCAGAGAATTCAGTATGTAACCTTGAACTCACCTGCCTCTACCTAAGGCTTGTGCCATATTAGGCTAAAATCTGTTGTTGTTGTTGTTGTTGTTGTTGTTGTTGTTGTTGTTGTTGAATTATCTGATTTTTTTAAAGAAGATCTTACTTCAAAGATCTTCATGAATGTATTTGTAAAGAGTTTATGGATGAGGCCAGCCTAGCAGTGCACACCTTTAATACCAGCACTCCAGAGGCAGGAAGATCTCTCTGAGTTCAAGGCCAGCCTAGTCTGGATGGAGAACCCCTGGACATCCAGAATTACATTAAAAACCTCCTATCTCAAAAACGAAGTTTATTAATTTTTTTATGAAACGTGAAACCTGTAAATAGTTTGAAATCTTGACAGTGCTTTTTAAGATTTTGACGTATCTAGGTCTGGCCCATTTTAGTACAGAATACGTCTTGAGAAACAAAATAAATAATGCATGTTCCATACCCTGCACCCAGTGAGCTTCAGTCAACCTTGAAATTACTTGATGAACTAGTCACTTCGAAAGGCGAAGTAAAATAGTTTACAGAAATAGTAGCTGCTAAAAAGTTACACTGAAACACGTGAACCGTGACGGCGAGCCGAAAAACTTGCTCTCTAGACTCCCATTTATAAGTAAGGAGGGGCTGGAGAACACCCTGGTGACGAAATGCTTACCCAAGCCAGAGGCCCTGGCTTCCATCCCCGGCCATGACACATAGAAGTAAGCTAACTGGAAACAGTACATAGAATCACAAAGAAGGCATTGGGCAAAAGCTTCCTTCCTACCCTGAATTTCTTCTATAGAAGCAAAGCTCTCCTTTGGGAGGGGAGGTAGAGGGGACATGCGCAGTATAGTATATGCGGGTGTGTGTTCCAGAGCAAGGGGCGGGCGTCTTCCTCTGGCGATCTCCACTTTGTTTCTTTGAAGCAAGGTCTCTCACTGAAATTGGAGCCAACAGATTAGCTAGGCTGGCTGGCCCATGAGCTGTCGGGATTTGCCTGGTATCTGCTGCCAGTGCTTTTGCCCAATACTTCCGTTACAGGCACATGTTAGCCCTGGGCAGTGATTTGAAAGGAAATGGTCCCCAAAGGGAGTGGCACTATTAGGAGGTGTGAAGTGGGTGTGGCCTTGTTGGAGGAAGTGTGTGGCTGTGGAGACCCACTTTGAGGTCTCATATATGCTCAAACCACACCCAGTGTCTCAGTTCACTTCCTGTGGCCTGCAAGTAGAACTCCCAGCTACCTCTCTCGCTCCCAGTCGGCCACCCTGCCCACATGTCCCACCCTAATGATATTGGACTGAACCTCTGAGAGTAAACCGCCATCTCAATGAAATGTTTTCCTTTGTAAGAGTTGCAGTGGTCATGGTGTCTCTTCACAGCAACAGAAAACCCTAAGGCGCCCTCCCTTTCACTATAGGTACCAGGAATTCAAACTCAGGTCTTCTGGCTTGCAAAGCAAGACTTCTTGCATGCTGAAATATCTCCCCGGCCCCAAAGCTCTCTTCCTTAAAAAATGTCTATTGTATTATCAGCTAATTGCCATTGACTTATAATCTGTGGCATAAAGGAAATAATACACATTGGAAGGATAAAAAACATAACGGACGCTGCTCTTGCGGGGAGTGGAGTTTCCAGATACTGGGAGGGAGCTGTTGGAGGCCATCTGCCAGCCAGGTGTTTACCATCGCGCGTCTGCCCGCAGGTGAGCGAGATGGAGGTGAACGGGCAGTTCGAATCCGTGTGTGAGTCCGTGTTCAGCGAACTGGAGTCGCAGGCCGTGGAAGCTCTGGACCTGCCCATGCCTGGCTGCTTCCGCATGCGCAGCCACAGCTACGTGCGGGCCATCGAGAAGGGCTGCTCCCAGGACGACGAGTGCGTGTCGCTGAGGTCGTCCTCCCCTCCACGCACAACCACCACGGTGAGGACCATCCAGAGCAGCACCGGTGAGTGAGCTAGCTGGGAGCCCCAGCCTGGGCGCAGCTGCGCACCAGCCAGCTTGTCCAGGTTTTTGGGTGGCTTTGCTGTGGTCGCATGGTTGACAGTCACAAATGCCATCTGTGTCCCTCACAGAAAGACAGTTTCCTTACTTGACCCGACCCACGCATCCCGTCATGCTCGCATGCTCCTCCCTCCATCACCATGCTAAAAATCCACAAGGACAGCTACAGCTACGGTCAGGGGGGAGACAGCCCAGCATAGTCCTGTTGGTACGCCCTACTCAGGCGCTCAATAGACAATGAGACTAACTAAAAACACCTGCTTCTTGGATTCAGCCAGAGTCCTTTTTATTCTAAGGTGGCCGTGGTGTGACTCTCCCAGGAGACCTAAAACACCCTGTTAAAATTTAAAAAGAAAAAGAAGAAAAACGGACAGACTAGCAACATTGACTAGGCATTTATGAGTTTTATTACAACCACCACAACAACAAAGATTTATTTCATTGGTTTAAATCGCGCCATATATAAACAGTTCCTACCTCTAAACTATGAATTTTTTTTACAGAGAAACTGTATTTTTATGGGCAGATTTTAGGAGCAGAGGCATGGGAAAGCTAGACTAGTTTCCGTGGAGCTAGAACGTGCCTCGCGCGCTGTGTGACTAAACAATTGAGCAACCAAGAAGAAAATCCCTCCATCTTAGCGGGGGGGGGGGGGGGGGTGTTAACTTCATGACTGAATTCAACCTAACTCCAATAAAGTGATTCCGTGAGAATACCATCAAACTTAAAAGTCAAGATAAATAATGATGAGTAAATTAGAAACGCCTACAACAGGATATGGTGTCAATAAATGGTGATAAGTAAACGAGAAACGCCTACACCAGGTTATCTTATTATTCTGTGTTTGTGCTAGGGGCATCAGTGTCAGCGTCAGCCTGGCCTGGTGAAGCATGCCTGTAATTCCATTCCTTAGGGGGCTGAGACAGGAGGATTCTGAATCTGAGTCAAACACTTCAGACTAAAACGTGTCTCAAAAAAAAAAAAATTAATCACAGTAATGATCATTCATTCTAGAAATTTCAAAGGCTTGAGGGATAAATCCTTGAAAGCCCCTACTAACTAGAGACAGCACTGTGACCCTGACCAGTCATGTCTAGACCAAAGATAGTGGATGAGACACACCTTTCTTGGTAGGAAATCCCCAAGAGCAGCGTCAGACAATGCTAATGAAATAAAGGTGATTCCTGAAGCGCTGGAAATCATGTCTTGTAAAGATCAGTCGCAGCGCATTGTGTGTGTTTCACGTTGTGCGCGCGCGCGCGGTTTTGAAGGTCTGCTGTCTCCTACAGCTTATTGGTGTGTGTCTTCTGCTGTTGCCCGTTTCCCACCTCACCCTCCAAACAACCCTTCCCTGGTGCCCATTCCTCTCTAACCATCGCACTGCCTGCCAGCCAAAGTTGCTCCTTAAATACAAGTAGTGCAGACAGAGCATAGCCCACTTGGGCCTGAGAGAAACTGTGGAAGGAAAGGCTCTCCAGATTGCTCCTCCCACTCGGAGAGGTGTGGAAATAAAGTGGAAGGACACTCTGACTGGCTGTGCCCTTCTGACCTCTCAAAAATGTTGTGGCCCCAAACCACCGAAGCTTTGAGGTTCTGCCTGAATGGGCAAGCGTGGACTTGGAAACTCCTAGCAACCCAACGGAGATAAAGACCAGACATAGGCATCTTGTCATAGTTGGAGAGCTCTCAGTTCCATGCTGTGAACTGGGGACCTCATTTATTCTAGGATTTTCCTCAGCTGCTTTCTAACCATCTTCTGGTGAAGCAGAGGCCATTTCTCCTGAACCTCTCCCTAAACTCTCTCTCTCTGCCGACCCCCCCCCCCCCCCCCCCCCTCTTTACTTCCTGGCAGTTACCTCCTCCTCATCTGCCCTCACTCCTCATGTAGACCTAGCCCTCTACCCTGGTGCAGGCCTATTCAAATGCTTGGTTCTATAGAGATGCAAAACTAGGGGACAGACTCCACTGAGGCTAGGCCATTCAACAGCAAATCAGCTGGCATCTGCAATGCAATGCAGACCGGAGCTCCAGGGCTTTGGACCCCAAGAAATCCTCTAATAGCACAATATTGGGCTCCCGACACAAACGTTTGTGGCTTTTATCACTGACAGTGACTTGTACTCTCCACAGCTGTTCTCCTCAGTTCCTCACACTCACTGCTGACCCTGCCAACTCCAACTCCCTCTCTCTCCCTTTCTCTCTCTCTCTCTCTCTCTCTCTCTCTCTCCCCCTCCCTCCCCCTCTCTCTCCCTCTCTCTCTCTCTCTCTCTCTCCCCAAAGAGTTCAGACAGTAAGGTTGCCAAATAAAATCCAGGCTTTCCAGTTAATCCCAAGTAAATAGTGAGTAATGTGTAAGAAACCCAAATATTGGACAGGAAAAGAAACCAGACTCTGGAGTCTTGTGACATGGAAGGAGTGAAAATGGGACTCTATAAACAAAACAGGCAAGGCTCTTGTTGGGACTTCCATTCACTGGCTGACTTCAGCCAGATGGCCCAGAGGTGAGCCGACTGTTTGCTTGGACAAAGGAAGTGTCAGACTTTTGTTAATTTTTTTAATTTCTTTTATTATTTTAAGTCTTTTTTATTAATTTATTTTTCATTTCATTCCCACTTCCCCAACCCCACCCCTGCTCCCAACTGCTCCTCAGAGAGGGTAAGGCCTCCCCTAGGAAGTCTGTCCCATCATCTCATTGAGGCAGGACCAAGGCACCTCCCGACCCCCCACACCCCTGTGTCTAGGCTGGGCAAGGTATCTCTCCATATAGAATGGGCTCCTCTAAGTCAGTTTGTGCATTAAAGTTAGATCTTGGACCCACTGCCAGTGGCCTCATATATTATCCAAGTTGCATCATTGTCACCTATGTTAAGGGAGTCTAGTTCGGTCTTATGCAGATTCCCCATTTGTCAGACCTGAGTCAGTGAGCTCTCACTAGCTCAGGTCAGCTGATTCTGTGGGTTTCCCCATCATGGTCTTGACTCCTTCGTTCATATTATCACTTTGTTTGTCCTCCGGGAGTTTAGCCCAGTAGTTGTGGATTTCTGCATCTGCTTCCATCTGCTTCCGGAAGAGGGTTCTAGCTTCCCTGGGGTTGTGGATTGTAGGCTGGGTATCTTTTGCTTTGTGACTAAGACCCACTTATGAGTGAGTAAATGCTGTATTTGTCTTTGTAGGTCTGGGTTACCTCACTCAGGATTTTGTTTTCTAGTTCTGTCCATTTGCCTGCAAATTTTAGGATGTCATTGTTTCTTACCGCTGAGGAATACCCCCTTGTGTAAATGTACCACATTTTGTTTATCCATTCTTCAGGTGAGGGGCATCTAGGTTGCTTCCAGGTTCTGGCTATTACAAACAATGCTGCTATGAACATGGTTGAACAGATGTCCTTGTGGTATGAATGTGCGTCCTTTGGGTATATGCCTAAGAGTAGAATTGCTGGATCTTAAGGTAGACTGATTCCCATCTTTCTGAGAAACCGCTACTCTTTTCCAAAGTGGCTGTACAACTTTGCACTCCCACCAGCAGTGGAGGAGTGTTCCCCTTTCTCCACATCTTCTTCAGCATAAGCTGTCATTGATGTTTTTGATCTTAGCCGTTCTGATTGGTGCAAGTTGGAATCACAGGGTGGTTTTGATTTGCATTTCCCTGGTGACTAAGGATGTTGAGCATTTCCTAAGTGTCTTTCTGCCATTTGAGATTTTTCCGTTGAGAATTCTCTGTTTAGATCTGTAGCCCATTTTTAATTGGATTATTTGGTAGTTGATATCTAGTTTCTTAAGTTCTTTGTGTATTTTGGAGATCAGCCCTCTGTCAGATGTGGGGTTAGTGAAGATCTTTTCCCATCCTGTAGGAAGCTGTTTGTCTTGTTGACTGTGTCCTTTGCTTTACAGAAACTTCTCAGTTAGGAGGTCCCATTCATTAATTGTTGCTCTCAGTGTCTGTGCTACTGGTGTTCTATTTAGGAAAATGGTCTTCTGTGTCTGTGTGTTCAAGTGTATTTCCTACTTTTTCTTCTATGAGGTTCAGTATGGATGGATTTATATTGAGGTCTTTGATCCATTTGGACTTGAGTTTTGTGCATGGTGATAGATATGTCGACAGCCAGTTAAACCAGCACCATTTGTTGAATATGCTTGTATCCATTTTATATTTTTAGCTTCTTTGTCAAAAATTAGGTGTTCATAGGTGTGTGGGCTGATTATAGGGTCTTTGATTCAATTCCATTGGTCCACCTGTCTTTTTTTTTTGTGCTGATAACAAGCTGTTTTCATTACTATAGCTCTGTTTTCATTACTATAGGAAAGGTGATGCCTTTAGATGATCCTTTATTGTATAGGATTGTTTTGGCTATCCTGGGATTTTTTGTTTTTCCATATGAAGTTGAATATTGTTCTTTCAAGGTCTGTGAAGAATTGTGCTGGGATTTTTATGGGGATTACATTGAATCTGTAGATTGCTTTTGTTGTAATTTAAGAAAAGCACCTTGTGCAAGAAAGATGCCATGGGACAGGGTTCAAGCAGGGGTCATAAAAGGGGGGAAGAGAAGGGGGGAAACCAGCCTCCAGGGACAGGAGCAGCAAGAGAGGGGAGGAGAGAGAGAGGAGGAGAGAAAGAGGAACAGACAGACAAAGGAAGAGAAAGAAAGAGAGAAGGATGGGAGGTGGGTAGGGCCCTTTTAAAAGAGAACATAATGAATGGGGACAGGTGGTGCTCTTATTGGCTGCAGCTGAGGCACATCCTGTCAGAACCCCAAGGACCGGTCAATACAGATGCCTGAATACTAACAAGTTTTGGTAGGATTGCCATTTTTACTATGTTGTTCCTACCTATCCAAGAGCATGAGAGATCTTTCCGTTTCTGCTATCTTCTTTAATTTCTTTCTTTAAAGACTTAAAGTTCTTGTCATACAGATCTTTCACTTGTTTAGAGTTACTCCAGGATATTTTATGTTTTTTTGTGTGTATTGGAAAGGGTGATGTTTCTCTGATTTCTTTCTCAGCCCATTTATCACCTGTATATAGGAGTGCTGCTGATTTTTTTTTTTCAGTTAATCTTGTATCCTGGTACATTACTGAAGGTGTTTATCAGTGGTAGGAGTTCCCTGGTAGAATTTTGAGGGTCACTTATGTAAGCTATCATATCATCAGCAAATAGTGAGAGTGAGTTCTAATTTGCATCCCCTTGATCTCCTTTTGTTGTCTTTATTGCTCTAGTTAGAACTTCAAGTACTGTGTTGAATAGATATGGAGAGAATGGACAACTGTGTCTTGTTCCTTTTAGTAGGATTTTAGTAGGATTGCTTTGACTTTCTCTCCATTTAGTTTGATGTTGGCTGTTGGGTTACTGTATATTGCCTTTATTATGTTTGGAATGTTCCTTGTATCCCTATTCTCTCCAAGACCTTTATTATGAAGAGGTATTGAATTTTGTCAAAGGCTTTTTCATATGTTGAACCAGCCCTGCATCTCTGGGACGAATCCTACTTGGTCATGGGGGATGATCTTTCTTATATGTTCTTGGATTCAGTTTGCCAGTATTTTATTGAATAGTTTTGCATCTATGTTCATGAGGGAAATTGGTCTGTAATTCTCTTTCTTAGCTGTGTCTTTGT